AATAAAATGAATTTGAAAAATTTTGACTAAATTATATATATTTTTTAATTTTTAATAATTTTTTTACTATTAATATTTATGATAATATTTGGATATATATTTACCCATCAATTATATTGTTTATCGCCTCTAACTTGGTTTTGTAGAGTGCTCCAAAACGGTGGCAAAAGCCTCCAAAAAGCTCTTATCAATATTTATCCGGTTCCGGAAGAGTATTTTAGATATAAGATTTTAGAATAGAATAGATCTGGAACCTGCGCCAAAATAAAAAAGTGACTGTGACTCGCTGAAAATCACACAGGGTGTCGACACTTCAAAGGATGTACTGACACCTTCACTGTATAGTGGACACAGAGTTCGTGTCGGAGATTTTGTACCAAAATGCAATTTTGGTGCTTCATTGGAAAACTGCTCTGGTCTCTCATCTTTCATCAAGTGACACTTTGATTCTCATAGTTTTGATTTCTTCAGTTTGGTCCTAAAAGTTACAATTTTTAATTTTTAATTTTCTTTTTATTAACCACTTTGATTTATATTTTTAAGACCATGTTGTTAAACCAAAATTATGAGAGAAGTCGATAATGGTAAATTTTTTATAAGGCTTAAATTTTTTCAGGATAAATCTCTTTAAATTAATTTTTGAGTTATAGAGTTCGTTATTACAAAGTTTTATACTTTCTTTGTAAACAATAAAAGAAGAATGAATTAGAAATCATGTTGGGCAACTCTAATAGATTGCAGAATAATCAAAAGGTGGGTAGTGTGGTTATTTGTCATTCTTTTTCCTTTTTCCCTCTACCTCTATGACAAAGTGAAGGTGGTAATGGTAAATGAGCTGGATCTTTTGTGACCATAGGGTCTTTGAGTTCCAGATTTAGTATTTTAGGTGGCTCTAGGACTTTCTATGACCTAGATACTTGCATTTCAACTCTTGCATGCTGGTCATTCTTTATTTTGTTTGTTTTATTTTATTTTTTGATATTGTGGGTATCCAAACCTTTGGGCACCAATCATTCTTTATATAGTAGATTAATTTGCATATATTTCTCTCTTTATATTATTGGTAAAGGAGTTGATATTTTACTAGTAAATCAAAACAATGTCTTGTATATTGTACATGATAGGCTTAGCTTATTTCCTTCAAGGGGGTTTTCCATTTTTACCATTGTTTTTTTTTTTTTTTTTCCCTTTCTCTGTTTTTTCTTCAACTCACTTATGAAATTATTAATGTAAAGCTATCCTACAGAGCAACAACTAATGATCTTGGATCTTCTTATACTTTTTGCTTCCTTTTCTCCTAAATGAATTTGTTTCCGATTTATATGTATCTATACACACTGAAAGGCATAGCACCTTTGTTAAATAAAGAAGAAAAAAAATGAATTTCTTACTTTTTGCCATTGCAATTTTGAGTATTAGGTGATATGTTAAACCCAGATATGCCTAGGTGATTATTGTAGATATTTTGTTTTCATGCAATGGAAAAGCTTGCCTTTTTCAAAAAAAAAAAAGAAAAAGAAAAAAGAAAAGCGAAGATAAAAGATAGAAAGAAATCATAAGCATTGAACTTTTTCTAAATGATCATAGGTTGCTATTTTGCTTCTTACTTAGATCACTCCAAAAAGTATAGCTGTTGACAATCCCACAGGGGTGGCTAGATTTGTGGTAAGTTTTCCATTTAAGTTTCCATTTTCTTCTTGATCGTGCAACTAACTTTAACTTTCTGTTTAAAACTCCATGGTCTATGTTGCTATTTAACTCTTTTCTACTTAGCTGATGACTGCTAGCAAACTAAAATTATTTGGCTAATGCCATTTGCTGTGTCATTAGGTCAGGCCAGTGGCATGGGTCTCCTTGATACTACATCTAGTGGGAAGAGTTGTCACTCATTTATCATGGGAATAAGGAAATCAGATCCTCCATTTTGTCTGTTGCATTTCTTGTTTCCAGTTGTTTGTTAGTGTAAGTTAGTATTGACTGCTTTAGTAATGTTTTGCATGTTTTCTCTTTAAATTAGTGAACCTTATGTTAGTGAAGATCAATTAAAGCTGATGCTACATGGGGCAGAGTTGAGTGGAGCAATAGACGAGGAAGAGCAGGTAGTGAAATAAGCTAATTTTTCTTTATTGTACCTGCCTGAGTGTCTCTTTTGTTGCAAATAAGAATTAGAAAGTTACTTGCTACGCCCTCAGACCTTCCATTTGCTAAGCTGGACAAGGCGCTTTCAGACGAGGACGCGCGGTACCGATTAGAGAGTTGCGTTCTTCTCCTTGTATAGGGTTCAATTCTAGGACGAGTGCAGCTCGTTGAACGCCACAGACTGTCTCCCCGGCAACTGATAGTAAGGAATTTTCTTTTGATATTTTTATTTATGGGTTTTATTTCTTGACAATTGGGTGTTGTTTAATTATGTATGGAAAATGCAATTACTTTGTTTGAAGAAAAATTATGGAGCCCTCTGTCCTCTGTTTCAAGTCTGAGCCTTTGCTCTCTTTTGCTGCTACCCTTAGGTTCTTTGATTTATGTTTGTAGAGATAAGGATTTTGTCAAACTTGGTTATTGGTTTTTGAATTCTTGCTTTGCCTTCAATTTTTTGGTGTTTAGGGAATTGATACTTTTGGAAGAAAATGGATATTTTCAAAGTTGGTGGGAGTATATCATAGATGGACAAATAATACGGTTTCCAGTACTACTGACTGCTTTATGACACGGTTTAGATTTCGATCACTTAATTCGAATAATTTTTACTGCAATCCACGGATGGAGGAGGGCTGCTGAGGGGATTGGGTGTCAGATTTATGACATTTGGTGCAAGGAAGTCAATTAACCTACAGCTTCCTCACTTGTCTAGTTCAATGATTTTGTACTCTTTGTTCTTGCTATTTATCTATTTGAGTTTCTTCCTCTAATTTGTTAAACTTAACTTGTTCACTTTTCATGGACCTCGTAGTTTCTTCAATTTTAAAGACCTAATTGCCAATTGCAGCTTTTGCATTCTTGAATGTTGTTTTATATTTAAACTAATATTTAGCATTGCACTCCCCCATGTGGTCCAAGTAGCCACGCTTCTCACACCTCCATGTGAAAAGTAAGGTGGAACGCGGCACATGATTATCAGGTCAACTTCTCAATCGGTTCTCAAACATATATTAATTTACTAATCATGTTTCTTACAAAAAAAAAAAAAAAAAAAGCTAATATTTTGCATTTGAACCTGTTCTCTAGCATGATCTGCCCGGTAGACTTCTTCCTGTGTGCTTAGTACAATATTCACATCATCACTCTTTTTCAAGTTGGTTTTGATTTGTGTATTCTATAACTTCCTTTCTTGTTTGGTTATTTAACTGGACTAGTGGATGAGTCCTAAAACATTTATCTAAGAGAATGGTAACCTTATTCCATTAATCCAAAATTCCCCTTATGGGGCTATACACGAGGCTTTTCACCCGTGCATTTTTAGGTCTAGAGAAAATTAATGACAAAGCATTAATGTTAACTCAACTAAGTAGCTAAGAGACTAACTGGAACTAGGTGCAGAATTGTAACTTTACTCATTTTTTAAAACTCTTCCCTTTTTTACCTACCATATGAAATAAACCCCAAGGATTGTGGTGGGAGGGAATTTCCCAAGTCAATAGGAGATCTAAAGTCATTACGTTCTTTAGTTCTCTTTAGCTACAACTTGAAGTGTTCCATTCCAGCTTCAATAGGGAAGTTGTCTAAGCTTTCTCTTGTAAACTTCCAACATAACAATTTTTTAGTCAAATCCCATCCTCACTTACAACCGTCACGCAACTTAGCCTTCTTGATCTTTCAAATAATCAGCTTTTTGGTCCCATTTCTTTTCAAGGGTGTACGTTTTCAATACTATCCCACCTAGACCTATCTCATAACTCACTTAATGGATCAATGCCACCTTGAGTTTTCAGTCTACCTTCGTTATAGGTCTTGGTTCCCAATTGCAACTTTCTTCAAGATCAAATAAATCAATTCCATCAAAAATCATTGACAATCGTGGATTTGGCACACAATAATTTGAGTGGTTTTTGTAGAGTTTGATGTGTTCTCAAAGCTTCAAAGTCTTGAATCCGTCATTCTTTCAAATGACAATCTGTCTTTGAGAATCAATGTTGATGCTGACTTCACATTTCCCAAACTAAAACATTTGGATTTGTCTTCTTGTAACTTGAGTGAATTCCTCAGTTTCCTAAGACATTCAAATGATCTTCAAGTTCTTGAACTTTTTGTTAACAATTTAAGTGGGAAGATTCCAAACTATCTCCAAATGTTGATGAGCAAAAGTCTTTCCGTGTTGAGTTTGCATGCCAATAACTTTGATGGAGATATACCATTTTGCTTTCCAGAGGGTTATGGATTGCAAAGTCTCAACTTGTATGGAAATAAAATGGAAGGCTTGTTGCCAAGATCTTTGATGAATTGTAGCTTGCTAGAGGTTCTAAACTTTGGGGACAACAAGATAGCAAATCTAAGAGTGCTGGTTTTAGGGTCAAATAAATTCCATGGTTTTGTAGTTAGCACCAAAGAACGTCCATCTTTTCCCAAGTTACGAATCCTAGACCTCTCTGACAATGACTTTTTTGGTCCTTTGCCTGTTCGATACATTAGAAAATTTCAAAGCAATAGTGGATCTTCATAGAGATGACAATTTTTCTCAATACATGATGACCCACGGCACTCATATAGGGCTATGGCTTCTACAACTAAAGAGGTCATTTGGCATCGCAACTTATAACAAACTTTTGGTATTCGCCAATGTTGCTCCACACCTCTTTACTGTGATAATCAGGCAGCTCGCCACATTGTTGCCAATCCTGTCTTTCATGAAAGGACAAAACATTTGGAAATTGATTGTCATTTGGTGCGTGAGAAATTTCAAGCTGGTAGTGTCTGCCCATTACCAATCTCTTCCTCTCATCAACCAACTGATATTTTCACAAAGTCATTGGGCAAGGGTACAGTTTTTATTTGATGCGGGACAAGCTAGGCATTCATGACCTTCATGCACCAGTTTGAGGGGGAGAGTAAACAGTATCTTGTATAAACAGTTTCTGGCAGAAATCCCTCAGAATCAGGAATATATTTGTATACAGTCATAACTCTCCTAGACTCTAGGCACAAGGTTAGTCAAGTTATGATTCTGATATAGTTCTTTTGTATATACATGTACAGCGACATACATTATGAATAGAGAATATACATTAATTCAGCAATTTACACCATAAACACTGGTTTTCACAATGAAAAGATTGACGGTGAGATGCAGAGAATTTTAAGCATATTCACTAGCATTGATCTCTCAAATAATCAAACAAATGAAATTGAGAACTAAAATAAAATAAAAATAAAAAGACAAAAACCTGCAAGTGTCCTCGACATCTTTCATGAGCTTGGAAACAAGGTTCTCACGGTGGTTGCGGCCGATGTGGCGCGGATGCAGCTGCATGTTGCGCTCCAATACTATGTGGAAGAACATGTTTGAGAGTGAAGAATGAGAGTTCCTCTGTCTATGGATTCTGGGTTCAGGAAGGAGGAAGAGAAAAAGTTCGGGCTTTTAGAAGGTAACTCTCAATTGATGAGAAATCTATGTAATTCAATTCCAACATGAAATGTTAACTCTCTTGTTCTTGATTGATTTACGCTGGTTAAGAGAAAACTGCTTACAAATTGAAGATGGAGAAGACAGAGTAAGACCCGTCGACAGCTAAGTTGCAGGGGAAGAGAGAATATAGACAGCGATCACCTCAAACGACGGCGGAGCCAGGCTCACTTTGTAGAGATTGAAGACGAGAAAGACAGTTGATCTGGGTTTTATATATATATCTTCAAGAAGTGTTTAAACCCTCATTTTTCATCCCCCAACTTCTGTGCGATGCCATTGGTCTCCTTCACTTGTAAAATCTCCCTTTTAGCCTTTAAACTTTTATTATTTTCACAAGAGGCCGTGTGATTACTTATTCTATTTTCTATAGTAAATATTATTTGGAGAGGGGTGGAAATGTAAGAGGCTTGTATGTAAATATTTTGCTTACTTGAAAATTTTAAGAATAAAGTTAAATCTATTTAGGTATTTCAAGCAAAATACTCCTT